CGTCAAATCTGTGAACTGTAGTCGCTTTCTAATGGCTCTCCAAAGAAGATCAGTGTACAGTAAACTTGCAGCTTTGGCATCATTCATGGAAAAAGGAGCAGATCTAGTTGCTCGGTCATAACTCTCTTGCTTGGTATAGATGCTACCTTTCTTTACAAGATACTCTGACAGCTCCTTACAAAAACTCTTCTTTGATTGCAAACAAATATTTGTTTCTTCAATCAAATCAATATCATGATCAAGATAATCAAGGCTGACTTCATCATGAAAGTCTTTGGCTACTCTGCATGCCAGCTTCATTGCATTCAAACCAACCTGAAACGAGATTGTGTTAGCTGGTTGTACAACTTCAGTATGGTCTACTTGAATGTCGAACACATTAAAGAGCCTTAATTCGTGTTGTAAAATAATGTAACATAAAAAATTACATTTCCAACAATGACAGATTGCACATAGTTGTGTGTCAAATCTGTCCTCTGTACATTCTTCAGGATTATCTTCAGAGCAAACATGACGAGTCCATGACATTGTGCTAGCAGGATATACTTAGATGGAATGTCAAAATACAACGCATTTTCTAGAAATCGCTCCAACATCTCAAACTCGTAAACAACCATTCTTGTACCACTCCAGACTTTTGGACGCTTGAAATTCCTCAGGTTAACCATTTTCAATTGTGTGTATCGTATACCCGTGCGATAGCGTTTTGCCTCATCCTTAATATGTGTATGAAAGGAGGTATTAGTGATTGATTATAATTGCTGACAAATTGACAATTTACATACTGCGACACACATAGTTTTGATATGTACTATGTACATGCGTCAACAATGCGTTGCTCTTGATGTTTTAACGAATATGTAAGCAAAAACCGTATGAATTGTGAAAAGCAGCTTGGGTCGAGACTGTTATAACTGCTGGTTTACCACTTGTGAATTCTTTCGCGCGAAGCGAATTTTTCGTTTTTCTTTGGTCTCTCAACTTGACTATCTAGAACTAAATCAACTAATTGGATGGAGACAAAAGAAAAATTCTCTTCGCCCGAAAAAAATTCCAAGACGAAAACCGGCTTTAACTATCTCGGGATTCGGGAAACATCTACTGAAGAGTTTAGATTGACAAATGATTTATTTCTGGACCAACGTTAATAGGCAGCACCTTCGACAGTTTCGACTTATTCAAGTTCTATGCATGACCCCACGTTACCTGTATATAGTCAATAAGCTCCGAGACCAGCGAGCTCATCTCTCGTTGGTTCACATCGTCTTCCATATCATCGGAGTCGGTTGTGTGCTCAACTACCTCGTCCTGATCATATTTCGCCTTGCCTCGTGCTTCTTTGTGGGCGCAGTTGATTAAATGGAGCAAGTCCCACCTGATAGTGACTTCTTTCCCTAGAAGAGCGGCAATAGTATTCTTGAAGGGCTTGTTTCCTTTAGCAAACGCTCCATCTCCCGTTATACCAACGACTTTCTCTTTTAAGTCCTCCTCTTTAATCTGAAAAATACGTTAAGTTTTAAAACATTAACAATCTGTATCAATCTAGCAATATCCAAGGCATCATCAGACAGCAATAAGTTGTATTAACACGCCTATCCCAATGCTTAAACTCAGTAAAACTCTCGGTAGATTTTATTTTGAAGCGTCAAGGGAACTGCAGAGTTCTTGAAATATTTAAAATATGCATTACCTTTTCATGCAGTTTACAAGATTCAAAGCAAACATTAGCGACATCTTCTCCCTTCTTCGAGGTAATGGGTGCGAGGTCAGCGAGTTTTACTTTCCCATTGCTCATAAACAACACTGCTAATAACGTCATGCCATAAACTGTTCCAATATCAAGAGTCAATGTAATTTCACTTTGCTCGTCAAACCAGGCTGCTGTTTTCTTGATTAATTCCACATTGACCAGTTCCAAAAATTGAGTGATGAAAGCTCTTGAGTGATTGATATTACCAAGCTCCAAACCACAAGCATTAACAGTTGCAAGCAACGTTGGAAACTGATCTAAGGGCAGATTAGATTTGATAGCGAGGTAAGCAAGATGTCTCATAGTTTTGAAAATCTCATCTTTCTTTCGTAGGATTTCTGCAGCATGACACATTTCCGTTTTAAGAGCATTATGGTGGGCATCTGTCATAAGATGTTGAGCCAACTTTTGCTTCATGTTGGAAAACCATTTTTCCATTGGTTTTTTTACCCCAGAAGCCCAGATAGAGTAAGTTGAACCACTGACAAGATCAAATCCTAATTTAGTTGCAGGGCCCTTAGCCCATTTCTTACATGCTTTGCAAACTAATTTCTCTGATTCCTGATCATCAGCTTGCTCGATTTCAAACACTCCCTTGATTAGCTGGTTGTTCATCACAAGCTCCATGCTGGTACAGCTGCTACACCTAATAGCGTCAACAAGCTTCTCATATTGGTCTTTCTGAGGAACACTGACACATTCAGATGACTCTATTGGCATAGTAGGACGTCTAACAGAATTGAGTTCTCTGGCTGTATCAATTTTATTTGATAATATTTTAACTCCTGTAAGGACAGAGTCAAGTTTGTCTAGTATCACTGAGCTACTTGCTTCTGTTACAGCAGTAATGGTTTTAATCAGATTGGTTGAACTGTTACCATCTAAGCTAGCAAGATTAAGCTCGGTGAGTTGAGGGTCGGAATCTATATGTTGAGCTACACTGTCACTGCTCTGAGTTGAGTTCTGCTGAAATTCTGTTATGATATCAGCAGGAACTGTGTCCTATTCGTTAGGCTGGGCAGCTAGAACTGACACAGTTGCAGCTGGTTCTTCAACTGTTGTTGCTGTAGTGCAGAATAGCATCCTTTGCTTCTTGTTGGCACACGCTTCATTCAGAGAGTATCCAACAGTTCTTCGTTTTCTTTTATAACAAGGATTCTTTATTAACTTTCCACCATCCTTTTGCTTAATATTCTCAAGTTCAAAGTGTTTCTCATAGTCAACTTTTCTCACCCAACTCTTCTCACAATCTCCACAATATACTCTTTTTGAAGTCATTCTGAATACTCAAGAGTTTTACTCTGGTTCACTGACAGAAGCCTCCAAGAATCGCAATCAATTTAGTCAATTTACATGTTAAAACAATAGAAACAATAGAATTTACATATTAAAACAATAGTTACTTAATTCTTAAACAAACAAACTAAAAGAAACGTGATATCTTGTTTAGGTTGTTTTTATCTTTAAAATTATACAGTCATGGAATATTATTTTGACATTTGGTTTCAGTTCATATTTAGCAAATTTCTTGATTGCAAGAAATTTCTTGTTTCCATGACAGTGTTTCCACTTAATCCAATGTTTCCACTTAATGCATCCATTAACTCCAGGCCCTTTAGACACCTAGCTCCTAAATAATATTTGGAGTTCTACCTACTAGCTCCAAATGATTTTTGGAGTTAGCCAGTACCTCCAGGTCATTAGATAACTAGCTCCAAACGGTTTTTGGAGTTAGCCAGTAACTCCAGGCCATGATTAGATACCTTAGCTCCTAAATTATTTTTGGAATTATACCTAGCTCCTAAGCTCCAAATGATTTTTGGAGTTAGCCAGTAACCCCCAGGCCATTAGATGCTAGCTCCAAATGATTTTTGGAGTTAGCCAGTAACATCCAGGCCATTAGATACTAGCTCCAAATGATTTTTGGAGTTAGCCAGTAACTCCAGTGTGTTAGATACCTAGCTCCAAAATAATTTTTGGAGTTATACCTACTAGCTCCAAATGATTTGTTGGAGTTAGCCAGTAACTCCAGGCCGTTAGATACCTACAATCCGGGCCAAAACTTATGTGGACACTTAATCCACTTTTGCAAAAATCATAACAAACACCTAAAACTTGAATTTACTTGCACATCCCCCACTCCCCCACTTCAATGCTGCATGTCCGACTTAACCACACTTCGTATTTCATGAAAAATCCCGTTCAACATTGGTTTGGGGAAGCGGGGGAATAATTGTTTAGAAAAAATGCCATTCGAGGCCAAATTCTGTGGGTTGTTCACAACGTTTTGTCCAGGATTGTCTGAAAAATGATGGGCATGGAGAAGCGCTGTTTTATCGCTTGCTATTTAACATTCGATATGTCTGATGTGACTATAATGCATACCTATGTATTCTAAGTTTTTTATTATACAGTTTGATCGCTGATGACATCACTATTTGCAATTACGTCACTTCTGGATGTTGCAAATATAAGCTAATTGGTGGTAAGCGTGCGTAAAACTGAACTATACTGAATAGGTGCGAGCATAACTTTTTCGCAATCTTATACATGAAAGGTAAACCGACATTACAGTTCAGATACATAGACAAGGAGCACATTTAGGCTTTAATAGGAGAGAAATCGACGGTGCATAAAATTTTCAGTGTCGTATTAGGGAGATTCAGCATGATTCCAGAACGTCTCAAGAAATGCAGCAATTACCTTATTCCTTGGAATAAATTATTGTATTTTTGCACATTTAGTGATGTTAACGACTCTTATAGTTTTGAACAGCCTATATTTTTATACATAGCCTATAATATACTACGTGCCAATGACAAGAACCTCGCAATATCAAACAGGAAAAGCTTCAGTACTCAAAATGAAATAATCATGTTAACCTTTTTAGCCATTTGAAAGGCAATATAATTTGACATTGAAGATTCTTAGCATTTCCAAAGATAAGTGTCTCTCATAAACTGTTACGCAAATTCGATAAAACTACAGCCATTAAATACATACAATGCACTTATATTTGTAAATATTATATTACAATTGTTTGTCAAACAATGAAATATTGCCTTACACTTTTCAATACTGTGCGCCGACTAGCACGGTCTACAGTAACTTCGGACTTGAATTACATACAATTGGTGAATTGAAACGTAACGATTTCTTCTTACGGAACTACCTCCATATTATACTTGTCATTAGAATGCTTTCATAATTTACGCAGTAAAGGAATAAGAAGTTACCACGGTCTACATAATAAAGTAGCTTTTTGAATATAATAGATCATAGCTCATTAGTATTCATGAAAATACGATTTTTGTGTGTAGACCGTGGCGATTTTTAAGGCATAGCTGATTTTATATGATTTGCTCCATACTGGTGGAAAACGTAATTGGACGAGCCTTTTAATCTATATTTTTTATCGATTGCTCTCTTATATACTTCTAAAATCACTGCAAAAAAAACGTGTAGACCGTGATTCGAGCTTTGAATACTATGCTACACATCACGTCATTCGATCGGAAAGTATAACATATCAACTTAACAATTACAGCAAGGCCCTGTAACTTAATATATTTCAGATGTGTAGTTCCTGTCTTAAATCATGTATAGTTTTCTGTCAAGCATTGTATTCAGCAAGTTTTAGATGCATCTTCAAATTGCATTGTCAGAAGGAAGCTGTAATATATAGTTAATTAAAACAGACAAACGTACTAGCATATATCGTAAGCAGCAATATTTGAAGTTAACGAATTTTTAATACTTGTATGAAAAATTTAATTTAGTTGTATAAATTTGATTCTCAAGCACTTCAAGAATGCATAAACAAACTTGGAACTAGTACAATGCATATTCCTGTCACTCTCGTCACATATTTATTAATTATTGCAAAAATTAGGCTCGTGGGCGCGTTTTTTTTTGCTTAGGAGATCTGTGTCTTACCGGATAATTTTTTTTCAAGAAATGGTCAAGAATGGATTATTTAGATGCAAACAAGCGCAATTTTACTTACAAAGCACATTTTTGGCCGTTTTCTATCATATTAAATACAAGAATCGCGTATTATTTTCTGCAGTGATTTTCAGACAATCCGGGCCAAAACTTATGTGGACACTTAATCCACTTTTGCAAAAATCATAACAAACACCTAAAACTTGAATTTACTTGCACATCCCCCACTCCCCCTCTTCAATGTTGCATGTCCGACTTAACCACACTTCGTATTTCATGAAAAATCCCATTCAACATTGGTTTGGGGGAGCGGGGGAATAATTGTTTAGAAAAAACGCCATTCGAGGCCAAATTCTGTGGGTTGTCCACAACGTTTTGTCCAGGATTGTCTGAAAAATGATGGGCATGGAGAAGCGCTGTTCTATCGCTTGCTATTTAACATTTGATATGTCTGATGTGACTATAATGCATACCTATGTATTCTAAGTTTTTTATTATACAGTTTGATCGCTGATGACATCACTATTTGCAATTACGTCACTTCTGGGTGTTGCAAATATAAGCTAATTGGTGGTAAGCGTGCGTAAAACTGAACTATACTGAATAGGTGCGAGCATAACTTTTTCGCAATCTTATACATGAAAGGTAAACCGACATTACAGTTCAGATACATAGCCAAGGAGCACATTTAGGCTTTAATAGGAGAGAAATCGACGGTGCATAAAATTTTCAGTGTCGTATTACGGAGATTCAGTATGATTCCAGAACGTCTCAAGAAATACAGCAATTACCTTATTCCTTGGAATAAATTATTGTATTTTTGCACATTTAGTGATATTAACGACTCTTATAGTTTTGAACAGCCTATATTTTTATACATAGCCTATAATATACTACGTGCCAATGACAAGAACCTCGCAATATCAAACAGGAAAAGCTTCAGTACTCAAAATGAAATAATCATGTTAACCTTTTTAGCCATTTGAAAGGCAATATAATTTGACATTGAAGATTCTTAGCATTTCCAAAGATAAGTGTCTATCATAAACTGTTACGCAAATTCGATACAACTACAGCCATTAAATACACATACAATGCACTTATGTTTGTAAATATTATATTACAATTGTTTGTCAAACAATGAAATATTGCCTTACACTTTTCAATACTGTGCGCCGACTAGCACGGTCTACAGTAACTTCGGACTTGAATTACATACAATTAGTGAATTGAAACGTAACGATTTCTTCTTACGGAACTACCTACATATTAAACTTGTTATTAGAATGCTTTCATAATTTACGCAGTAAAGGAATGGACGAGCCTTTTAATCTATACTTTTTATCGATTGTGCACTTATATACTTCTAAAATCACTGCAAAAAAAGTGTAGACCATGATTCGAGCTTTGAATATTATGCTACACATCACGTCATTCGATCGGAAAGTATAACATATCAACTTAATAATTACAGCAAAGCCCTGTAACTTAATATATTTCAGATGTGTAGTTCCCGTCTTAAATCATGTATAGTTTTCTGTCAAGCATTGTATTCAGCAAGTTTTAGATGTACCTTGAAATTGAACTGTCAGAAGGAAGCTGTAATATACAGTATAGTTAAAACAGACAAACATACTAGCATATATCGTAAGCAGCAAGACTTAGTGAAGTTAACGAATTTTTAATACTTGTATGAAAAATGTCATT